CTCCCCAAACCATCACATTGAAACCACCATGCTTCACAGTTGGCTGCAATCTATTGAGCCAAAACTCTTGGTGAGGCATTTTCCAGACCCATAGCCTTCCACTGTCTGAAAATTGAGCGAATCTTGATTCGTCTGAGAACAGTACGGTCTTCCAAAAGTCCAGAGGCTTGATCATCATATCACTTGCCCACTTCTTTCGTCTGACTATGTTGGCAGGTCTTAATAAGGGCTTCTGTCTAGCTGCTCTGCAACGATAACCCAATCTGTGGAGAATCTGTTGAACAGATTTCGGGCTCACCCCACCAACTTTGGTCACTTCTGCAGTCGCTAATCTGGGATCCATTTCGATGCTCCTCTTGACAGCTCTTTTTGTTCTCTCCGATGGACCAGGACGACCCGGACGCTGCTCAGTTGTTTCCTTGCCTTGTTTTCTGAACTGCACAATGATTTTGTTGACTGTCGAAAGCGTGATTCCCAATTCTGCGAAATTTGCCGCTGACTTATTCCACCATCTGCTTGACCAACTATCCTTCCTCTAACAAAATCTGACAATTCGAGAGAACCTTGAGTTCTAGGCATGTTGTAGCAAAAGGTAATTAGTGTGGGGACCATTTTCATTTATATAGTGCTCTGTGAACACAAATTAGTTAGCATAAATCAGTTAAATGACAAAAAATTAGGTGTTTATTTACTTGTGACCACTCAGTGTATATGTTTCACTCTCCTTTGTAATTGGCTCTAAAAAAATTCTCACAAGAAATTAAGGTTCATTTGTATTGACTAATATAATGATATAATTCTGAGACAATAACTTACCTCTTCACACAGATTAGCGATCTTCCTCAGCATATCTGCTAATAAGATTTGCATGCCTCTAGCCTTAAGGCAGCTCCCACCTAATTTTATATGAATTGCACAAAAGCCCTCCACCAATAGGAGGCTGACACATCTTTATGCTCACTAACTCCCCTTTTATGCATTTACACTTATGAATCTTCATTCTTTTTCTTGGCATTGTAGAGCACAAATGTATTTAAATTCATGTCTGTTCAATTTATTGAAATTTGTTTAATTAACAAATCTCTCATTTTCTTTAGCTTTTGTTTCTAAAGCTTTCAAATTTTTATCATTAATTTGAACTGACAATGATTTATACTTAGTCCTGAGTGTAGGATATTGTTCACATTCAGGCCTTATTTCTGCTGTGGCCTTTGGAGGCTCTTTAACTCTCAGGGTTGTTACAGCTATTGTTCAGCATATTTTGGATTACCACACTAATTTCTTTTTCCTCAATGATGAGTAATCTAGTAGGCTTTTACCCAATTTTCTTTCGGTAGTACTTTACCATTTGTGAAACAACTTTATCCTTTCAATCTCTATCTGTATTTCTTTCTCACACACTATTTCCCACAAAACTACATTTTAGTAATATTTCTTGAATGTTTCAGAGTACAAGAAATATTTTTAGATTCATATTTGGGCAAGAAATTCTCCTAACAACTAGAATGACTTTTTGAGACATTTTTTGCAGTACTAGTTTGGGAATACTGTGATCTTAAATGTTCCCAAACTCACTATATTAGGCCCTAAGCTAAATGTCTGCTCCAAAACACTGGATTACACTTTGAGGTGCTTTAAGAAAGTTGCAAATTGACTGAAAAATTATAACTTAATTTCAAAATCATTTAGTAAATTTTTCCACGAAAGTTTGTTTAAATCCAGTATTTTGACCATACTTGTTTCGTGTTTTTTTCCATAATGATGGTTATATTTGACTAAGAAGAATTTTATACTTAAGAGTTTAGAAATATTAAAAAATTAAGGTTCAAAGGAAAGAAAAAGGGGATTAAAATTTATTGTTTTAGAGCACAAATCAATTTTCCAAGATTTTGTTCAAAAACTAATTGCAAACTGACAACTTTAAATTTTTTTTATTGTAAGCCCAAGTTAAAAATTGCATTATCATAGCTCTCTTATATTTTGAGTTTTAAGTTACATTTAAAAATTGAATTTCAGATGTTAAATACATTTCATAAACTGAGAGATGAACTTATAAACATACAAGTTCATATTTTGTACATTTCAAACTGTTCAAAATATTATTAAATAAAAAAAAAGTTTAATTCCGAGGAAATCTATTAAAATTAATGAAAAAAAATATTGAATGTTTAATCGAAGCAATGTGATAGTATACAAACATAATTGTTAATAGAGCTTTCTACTTCTGTGAATTCTTGAGTTTATCCTAACATCTAATATTTGAAATGTTTGGGTTTCCTTTTGTGTGATAAGAGGTGAACGAACACAAATACTAATCAAAATTTACTTATTCAGTATCTTAGGACATGTTAAGTCATCAAGATTATCAGGTAACTCATTTAAAAATCTTTCAGGTTAGAAATTTAATGCGTGATCTGTTTCTAGGTTTTCTTTGGTACATCTCATGCACGTATCTACCTGTCAGCTGACTTCTTTAGGATCAATTGCCCTACAGGAATGTCAGCATTAATGCGGAAGAAGCCTCTTGATGAAATAGGAGGAATCAAAGCTTTTGCTCATTACCTAGCAGAGGATTTCTTCTTTGCCAAGTCATTTACTGACAGGTCAGTAATAATTGGGGGTGGAGAATCTGATGATGTCTCTTGACAGATGATTAGTAATAAGAGAAGAAAATGTATGCTTCACTGACACTTTCTACTGACAGGTGATTGTAGCAAGTTTGGTTTATTGATACTGTTTGCTGACAGGTTAGTAGAAGTATGTTTGAATGAAAATAACATGGGTAGCTCTAGTTGCTCTGTGTAAATAAAGTGATACCTGCGATATTGAATTTAATCAATCCAGTATAGTATCTTGGTCTGATCAGTCTTGAAAGGAAGTTACCTTCTCCAATAGAAGTGACTACACGTTTCCTTGATGAAAGTAAAGGTTGTTTACCTGTGTTTTTAACATTGTGTCCAGTATCTTTCTTTATAAAATTCATTTATGAGATTCAGTACTATTTCATAATCAGTATTGTTTTGGACCTCTGTTATTAAGGGGACCTGTCAGTTTTACCTGAATATACCATAGGTACTAGCATAGATAACCAGTAATGCCTAGCTTTAAAAGTTTTACTATAAATGGGGTGTGTGTGTGAACCATCCCTTTTTATTATTTTGAGCCATATTACTTAACATTCGTCCAATGCAAAGGCACCCATGCTACGTGTAGCATTAAAAATCAATTTCAATTTACATGAACTTCATGTATTTGGCTACTGACTTCATTCTGTTAAGCCCCCATTTGCAGTATGAGGTAGGTCCAATGGATTGACATTATATTGGTGAAGTTATACATAGTATTTTACTAAATTTTCTGTATGTATTTTTCACTTGTGTTCTTATACCACATTTCATCAAAAATGGCTTCTACCAGATTCTCAAAACTGCTTGTGACAACATTACTTCATAGAGATAGATAGACATGAAAGTACCTAAACTGCAGACTAGGAGTATGTTTTGACATTAGTACGGGAGCAGTGTGCATGTGTTCAGTGTATAAAAGTATATAAAGATAATGGTTAGGGTTGTTTACATCACTTTTGAAAAGATTTACTTTATTCGTTTCTTATAGAGGGTGGAAGTTAAGAATTAGTTCTCAGCCAGCTTGGCAAAACTCGGGACACTGTGACATCAGTAGCTTTAGAAATCGAATTACGAGGTATGTATCTTGTTTAATAATGAGAAGTTAGTTTACAGTACATAAGGATTGGTTAGAAAATTGTTTATTCTGTTCTTTCTTGTTTTGTTATTTTAATTTTTGCCAGTACTTTCTCAGTTGTAAACATTTGTATTGACTAATATGGTGATATAATTCTGAGACAATAACTTACCTCTTCACACAGATTAGCGATCTTCCTCAGCATATCTGCTAAGATTTGCATGCCTCTAGCCTTAAGGCAGCTCCCACCTAATTTTATATGAATTGCACAAAAGCCCTCCACCAATAGGAGGCTGACACATCTTTATGCTCACTAACTCCCTTTTATGCATTTACACTCATGAATCTTCATTCTTTTTCTTGGCATTGTAGAGCACAAATGTATTTAAATTCATGTCTGTTCAATTTATTGAGATTTGTTTAATTAACAAATCTCTCATTTTCTTTAGCTTTTGTTTCTAAAGCTTTCAAATTTTTATCATTAATTTTGAACTGAAAATGATTTATACTTAGTCCTGAGTGTAGGATATTGTTCACATTCAGGCCTTATTTCTGCTGTGGCCTTTGGAGGCTCTTTAACTCTCAGGGTTGTTACAGTTATTGTTCAGCGTATTTTGGATTACCACACTAATTTCTTTTTCCTCAATGATGAGTAATCTAGTAGGCTTTTACCTGATTTTCTTTCAGTAGTACTTTACCATTTGTGAAACAACTTTATCCTTTCAATCTCTATCTGTATTTCTTTCTCAGGTATGTCTCTTTCCGTCTCTCTCTTGCCTGTGTTCTTTATTATTTTTTATTTTCTCAATTTCTGACTCACGATGCTTGGATTAATCTTGTCTTTTTCCTTTACTAGTTATTAGGTTTTATACTGTTTCCTTTATCTGCTAACTCCTTTCCTATGCCCAAATGCCTCATCTCCCTTGTGGTTGTGACTCCTTTTGTCTTGATTTATAGATTTCTTTTCCTAGCTTTTTTTCCAATTTCCAGTCATCAGTATCTATCTGACCAGCTTGAGGACCAAGCCCTTTCTTGTTCCTCATTTTTATGTTTTTCATCTTTTTCTTTATACCTTTCTGTATTCCTCTCCTTCCTCCACAATGTATCTTATTGCTTCTGATGGCTTCGTAGACATTCAATCCTTTCTCTGTTTGGCTTTTTCCACTTCTGCTGTATCCTTCTGTACTTTGTTCTCCTGCTGTCAGGAATGGTTGGGTCAGGCTGATTCCTCTTTACTGTATCCTTTTCTTCTTGTGTACTTATTATTTGTCTGGCTTCATTTTGTTACCGAGATGTCTTCAGTGTATTCTCCCCCCCCCAGTCCTTTTGGTTTTGGACATTAACCATACACTTCTGAGCCTGTTCACATCCTTTGCCATGAGATTTCATTTTGGTAGCAGACTGCCTCTGTATTCTATCAACAGAGTAGCCTCTATGCCCCCAGATCTTCCATGGGGTTTACCCTTCTTTGGATATGTCCATCTTGAACAATTTTGCCACACTTCTCACCACTGGGCTTCCTCTCTTATGGTTCTCTATTCCTCATCCTTAAGCTCTGGTTGTTGAATTCTCAGTCAGGCCTAGTCTTACCTCTTTCTCTATACCTATTCCCTTATTCATCTCCTCCTTCTGGACTTCAAATTTACGCACTAGTGACACTACTCTCCTTGGGTCTTATTATTGGCATCTCTTTGACTGCCTTAGCTTTGATCCTCCCGATATTTGCTCCCCCTCCTCTTCCCATCATTCCCCTCTCACTCTTGCTTTTCACACTTCCCTTTTTCATAGAGGGATATCCTCTTTCCACCCTCACACATGGAATTTGCCTGGTCTGTCACTTATTGGGCCAATCAGACTTTCTTCACATTCTTGTCATTCGATTATATTTGTCTATCACCATAAGGTCTTTCTTCATTGGTTTTTCTGCACCTTTTTATCCTTCTTACCTGACTGTTTATTGATGGATTCTCAATCTCAGCATGTTCTAGTTGTTGGGTGACCCTATCCATGGCCTTTCTATGAGGTGTTTCTTCTCCTGTTCTCTTCATTGTATTCTTTCATTCTCCTCACCCAACTCCTTGCCTGACTGAAATTTTAATGAGGTTTTGCACAATTTCATACATGCCCCATTCAATCTATTGACATCCTGGCTTTTGTACTGTCTTTCTCTCCTGACTTGTTTCCTTCTACTTCTGTCCTATGACTACCTTTGTTCCTTTAAATGTTTCTTGTACCCTCTTATATTGCACTTATCTTTTCCTCTTTCTGAACTGATCCCTTCTTCCTCAGACTTTGACTGCTTGAGAGGTATACTGTATTTCTCTCCTATTTTCCTTCCTTTTATCTCTTTTCTGTGAGACCAATGACACCCAGCTGGACTCTTGTTAGGCTGTCAGGTGTGCTTTATTACAGACCTCTCTCTTTAGGAGTGGTATCCCTGCCTTCATCTGTCCCGATTCTGGGGCCCATCTTTTTCCATAAACCTCTTCCCTTATGGGATGGGTCCGTCAACTCCTCTATTGACATGTTTGTCTCGGGATGTGAATGTTCATAGACAGTTTTTCTTTTGTCACATTCTATTTGTCATGAGGCCCTTTTTATAAAATAGAATCCTACCAGGTAGCTAGTTTTGCCTCCCAAGGTATACTTACTCAAAATCTGTCATGGATCTACATGTGTCCACTGTGAGATGGGGTATCCTTGTATATATTCACTCTGTTGTCCAATCTATACCATACATATTTTGTGGAAAAATTCCAGCACCAGGCAGGAGATCTACCCACTTCTCTGGCTTGCATTTACTGGCCATTGCACTGTCTCCAGTAAAAGGCCTTTCCAGGCTGAAGGACTGATGGGATTCCCAGCACATTCTCCAAATCTCCCCTGTGCATGTGAATACTTCCCCTTCATCAAATGAAGTAGAGAAAACCCTTACCGGTTTCTAGTTGCTGGAGTGGTATAAGATGGAGAATCCTTACTGATTGGAACCTAACTGCTGGGGCTAGAACAAAGATGCCATTATGATGAGAAGTGGGACAGTGGTGAAACTGTTGGTGTAGTGCAGGTCACCCCCTCATACAACTATGATACTTCACTCATGCCACACATGCTTTCCTCCTGTAGCATGACCTTGTTAGTTGAGGTGTGCACACAGTAAGTGACTGTGCCCTCCTCCTGCAACCAAAGCCTGCTCAGTACAGTTGAGGTGTGCATGCATTACATATGGACAGATGCTACATAAAACAGTGCCTTCCTCCTCCAGATTGTCTATCCAATAAATCCATTCAGTTGAGTAGAGATGAGTATTCACTACACAAAACCAATGGATATTTATATCTTGCATGTCCACCTGCAGCCCCTGTCTGTTCGTTAGATTCGAGATGACAACACTCAATACTGGTCCTTACAATATATTAAAGGTGTGTTCTCCTGCAGCTGGTTTAAGTCCCATAGACTCTGATAGTAGAGTTTAGGTGAGCACTGCATTCACATCTGTGATGTATCTCTTGTGCCCTCCTCCCACAGCTAGTTTTGACTCATTGAGTCTGATGGAAAAGTAGGTGAGCACACAAGGTATGGTCTGAACGAGCCCCAAACACACTACACATATTGGCTGTCTGACAACTTGTGTACAAGTACTTGAACAGCCACGTACCAATTATGACGATTTCTGCGACATGAGTTTGGCTACTATGATTCTTCCCATTTCTTGTATGGGCAAAGAATATAACCTGGTTGAGAAGAGATGAAGTCTCCCACGGGTGTACTCCTATGAAGTCTCTGTCAATGGGTGTCACACTGACACTTTCTGAAGGGTGCTTATCTAGATAAACTAATCTGTGTGTGGATGTAGGTATCTATCAGAAATACATTATGAGGTTAGTAAAATGTTAGCTCTTGATTTCATCAATATACAATCACCAAATCTGGTGTGGTTGTTTAGTTTTATTATGGTATGTAAATGTAGATATTCTTGTGTTTTGTATATTAATCAAAAAACATCCACATCATTAAACAGTTTTTAGCTTTCGTGAAAAACTCTTTAATTTAAAAATTAATGTTTAATCTTAAAACTAAAAGCTTTGTTTTGTTTTCCATTGCATTACGATAGCCAGATGAGTATAATAAAGAATAAAATGGTTATATTTTCCAGATGGGGAAAGCTTCGGTTTGCTATGGTGCCTCACACAATCTTTTTCGAACCACTTTCTGAATGTCTTTTTCTGGGAATTTTTGTTGCATGGTCAGCAAACTTCCTTTTCAACTGGGATTGTTTTGTATTATATTTAGTACATGTTTTAGTTTGGTTTTTACTCGATTGGATTCTCCTGTGTATTATACAGGTAAGCTTTGAAATACCAGTTTGAAGAAAGTATTTGATCTATTAGGTGTTTTATTCAGTATATAATATACACAATACAGGTTTAATTGAAAAAATAACTATTTTTTTTTCTTTGGAACATATTTCTCTCTTAAATAGCTCAGTTTTATTGAAAATGGTTCTTGTATAACTGACTCAATGATTGGATGATTAAACTAACAAAAAAAATGTATTAATAAAATTGAACTGATTATAGTGGTAGTGGTGCTGATAAATAGTACACAGTGAACATAAAGTTACATCCTGCATTCCATTGCTTATAAGTCCCAAACTGTGACACGTTAGTGGCATATAGTGTCTTCCACCAATTTAACCCTCTTACTACAGGTAGGTCAAAGTACGCATATCTCAACTTTTTGATTAAACTACTTTATTATGATTTTATATTATATAAGTTTTAAGTTCTTAATTTTAAAAGGAAATATTTTTAAAAATCCTTAATCTTCCCTAGTATGGCATTTGTTTACTAGGTCTTCTCTAATCTATTTTGCACCCGTCTGAGAAGTATGGAATTGAATGTAAATTACTCATTATAATATAGATATTACTATAGCCTTCAATCTTATTTAATTTATCTATGGGGCCATAAACTTGAAAATCACACTTGCCACACCCACCTATTATATTCAGTCTTTCACAAATTGTCAATAGCTCTTTCTTATGTTATATACTATATTATTTATAACCAATAGAAAATCAAAATTTTAAATTGTCAAAAGATGTATTATATTACGTTGTTTCTTGGAGAAGACATTGTTTACTTCCTTGTTCAGTTTCAAATTTATTCTCACGGGAATTACATTGACAAGCTTAGCTGAATTTTTAAGGGCTCTTATCACATAGTTAATAAGCCAAATAATTTCTTATAGTTATTGGGTATTGTTTGTTTTGTGCATTATATTATTCTGTGTTCAATAAATGCATTATTTAAATAAAATATATTTATATTTATATTAAATAAAAGCTATTTAGTGTATACCATCATTATAAAAAAATTTCTTAGAAAAAAAAATGAGGACATGGGTAAGTACTATATATCTTGATTTCCGTGTAAATTCTTTATTTTTATAAAAGTAATTTGAATGTAAAAATAAGAAACTTACTTGGTTAGATAAGATTAAATTAGGTAAGATAATTAAAAATAATAATGATAATTCTTCATTAGGTTTGCTCCCAAGCACCTCATGCATCACTTAATTGAATACGGTAACTAGACATGGGTCAAAGGGCAGTAAAACAATAAAATACGAGTATAAATAGATGTATACTGTTACGAGCTTTAAGCTATTTAGGATAAACATTTGTAGTTTTCCTTTGCTATTGGCAGCCATTCTAAAAAGAATAAAGGACAGGTTAGATTTATCTTGTTTTTGTTTTTTTTGTGGTTACAAGGTTGGTCAAATTGACCGAATGCATATAGAGTTAGGGTAGAGAAAATACAGCTAAAATATAAAGTTTTACTGAAAAACTTTGGACATTTATTTAGGAGGTTTTAGAGACTATGCAAATAAAATTTGATAATTTTCAGATGAAGAAAAATATTTTTAATTTTAGAATGAAAATTACTTCACTCCAACTCCATATATATTCATGGACAACTTTTTTTGTAATAATACTTAATTAAAACTCCTGATTTTTATGTACAAAAGACTTGTAATGTTTACTGAAAGCTTGCCAAATTTCATGGAGATGAAAAAACATGTTAAAAGTTATATTATAGAAACTAATGGTTACTTTGGGGTCACAAGGTCAGTGTAATCCACTGAGCCCATAGAGAGAGGGTTAAATAACAGATATGGTTACACATTGTTTGCAGGTCTGTGCATCTGACTACTTTGGGGTATCGTGTGTCATGCTGAATGCAGTTTTTAATATCAACAGTTATAAGTGGATGGTCATAGCACACTAATGTCTTCAGATAGTCCATATATCAGAAGCTCATGGGTATGATATCTAGTGACTGTGGTGAACAAATGTACAAATATCCCATACTGATCATTTTTTCACCAACAACATGGTAACATGGTGGTGCATCCTTTTTAAAGAAGACATTGTCTTGATGGACCGCCCCTCTCGTGTAGGGCAGATAATGCTAAGTTAGCTAACATGTTGATATAATGTGCACCAGTGACCATAATAGTTCCTAAACCAAAATCTGCGTGCTCCTGATTTAAAAAAAAACAATTATTACACTGTTGGTGAATCCAACCCACACGGTTGCCTTTGGGTCTTGAAGGGGCTTTTTATACAAATGCACGTGAATTGGTCTCACCCAAGATAATGCAGTTGTGGGTGTTTATATGACTGTAGGTGTGGCTTCATCTTTCCATAAAATTTTCTCATGTCAATTGTCATCCACTTGAACACAGATACTGAACTTCAATGCAAAGTTTAACTGATTCTCTGGGTCAGCAGGAAGCAGTTCTTATGTCTTCCAATGTTGTATGGAAACAGCTTTACTGTGTTGCTCATCTCCTTCTTCATAGTTTGCTGTGGTTGACCAGTAGACCTGGCAACTTGATGAATACTTCATTCTTGATGGGATTGCCTCATCTGATAACACTTACTGAACAAGGCCTTTGGACTAGTTGGGCCTCTATAAACACCTCTGTCATGGCAAGAGCTGTTTAAAAATCACCCCTGCATTACATTTATTGCTATAGAAAAACTTCTCATATGCTTTAAAATGTTGGAGAAAACTGTTCACAGACATTTTTGTAGGCAAACTGACAGCTCTGTAAACTTACTTACGGAGAAACAATATCACATATTACTTTACACGACACGAGTGGCACCACAGGTGGAAAAATATCCAAACTCTGGACAAGTATATGCACACTTAATTTTGTTAAAGTGTATGTTACTTTATGCAACCCCTTGCTTATAACACCCTAAATTGTAACTTTATAGTCATTTTGTACTTAATTAGTGAGTTTATTAGTTTATTTTACATGTAGTTTTAGTTATTCATTGATTGTAATAAAGTGTTATGATGAGTATTAAATTTACGTTTTCATATTAGAGACAATTATTTGTAAGATACATCCTTATAAGGCAGTAGAGATGAGTTGTTAAGAATGACATAAAATGATACTTAGGTTTTTTTATAGATTATTCTTATTAATCAAGTAATGTGTACTTACCTAATTCAAGTTCTTGGAGTTTTTATACATTAACCTTTTGAAAGATTGGAAGCCTATTATGTCTATTTGGTTAAGAGTACATAAATTATTACAGTATCAAAGTTAGATTGGCATTTTCTTCATGAAGAGCATCATCACTTCTTGAAGGAATTATTCTGTTAGTTTAAAAACTTTCATTTTCTGTGCTGGCATTCAGCAAGTTATGTAAAAAAACGTCATCATCAAATAAACACTTAATTATTACAATTTTCTAAGATTTTAAAAAGGTTTTAATTATTTCAAAGCATGTAAAGGCTCCAAAATAACTTTCTTTGGTTATGTTTTTTTCATGTCATTTTATTTTAATACATATTGTTTGTTAACACAGTAAGCAATTTTCAAACATAACATAATCGTTTTCCTCACCATGAGAAATTAATTAATAGTGTGGAATTCTCAGGTGAACTAAAATTCTTATTGGATAGGTCTGTCAAACAGGAGATTTGATCAAGATACGAAATTGTGAAACAATGCTGAACTTGTACCAGCTTAGTTAATGTTAAGGATTAGTGTAAAAAAGTCTACAAAGTGTAGAATACTGTGAAACCAATATTTATTATACACTCAAACCAAAACTGTGTGTGTGTTTAGAGTCAATGAGACTGAATAGGGGGTCAAAAATGGCCCCTAGGGTAAGATTGGCCTATGCAACTAACTGTCCTACGCCTAGTAGCAATGGTGCAGGTAGCAACAGCAAGCGAATTACATTTGTTCCTTTTCCTGAATCTTCCACAGTGAATAAATTCACACAGTAATGAAAAATAAAATTTAATTTAATTACTTGTTTTATTTTATGCTTCTTAAAAAATATTAATTTAAAATAATATTTTAAAATAAGTTCTCCAAGGGGTAGATAACTCAAAAAAAGGTTTGGGAAACCCTGGTCTATAGTTACTCGTCACATAGTAGGCAGTTGTTTTTTTGAAGGTACAAACTACTTGTTTAGTTAGCATTATTCCAAGTCTGATCTTGGTTTCGACTAGCTAGAAAAATAACCGTTTATAGCAAGAGTTCTCAAAGTGGTTGATAAAAACCTCCTCATTCTCATCCCACATAGATGGGGCTGCGGTCTTTATCTGTTATCTGTATAACTATTGAAGGATGCTGCTATCAACTCCCCTTAAGCAATATTCACCAACGGTGGTAACAGGTATTACTAATTTTGAAAATGATAAAGGGAACAAAGGTAGCTTGAAACAAGATCAATTTAATGTTGTGTGAAAATCTGAACATTACGGTATCCTGACCACATGTTGTGTGAAAACCTGAACATTACGGTATCCTGACCACATGTTGTGTGAAAATCTGAACATTACGGTATCCTGACCACATGTTGTGTGAAAACCTGAACATTACAGGACAAGAATAAATTCCAAACAAATAGCAGTACAGAAAGAAGAAACTTGTGGTATATTCCTATACCACAGTGGTAAGAAATAAAGCATTCTTTATCAAATTAGTGAAGTTGGACTTAATTTAAGTTTGATGCCCTACATCCAAATCTGGAAATATTTACTTAAGAGACACCATATAAATAATCAACACACACACACTGTTTCCCACAAAACTACATTTTAGAGTGCAAGAAATTTTTAGATTCATATTCGGGCGAGAAATTCTCCTAACAACTAGAATGACTTTTTGAGACATTTTTTGCAGTACTAGTTTGGGAATACTGTGATCTTAAATGTTCCCAAACTCACTATATTAGGCCCTAAAATAGTAATATAACAAAGCTAAATGTCTGCTCTAAAACACTGGATTACACTTTGAGGTGCTTTAAGAAAGTTGCAAATTGACTGAAAAATTATAACTTAATTTCAAAATCATTTAGTAAATTTTTCCACGAAAGTTTGTTTAAATCCAGTATTTTGACCATCCTTTTTTCGTGTTTTTTTCCATAATAATGGTTATATTTGACTAAGAAGAATTTTATAGTTAAAAGTTTAGAAATATTAAAAAAATGGCTCTCCAAGGTTGTTTTTTTGAGGTTACAATTAATACAATAATATTTTGTATTAGAAAAAACAATTAACAATATTATTGTTATTATTATTTCACAGAATGGATCTCTCCCTTTTAGTAAAGGAGATTTTGTAGTGGCTTGGATATTTCGTGAGAGCTCAGCTCTTTATCTCTATTTGAAAGCTTTGTTTGACCCAACCATTCGGTGGCGAACTGGAACCTATAAGCTTCGATGGGGAGGAGTAGCAGAAGAAATCAAGTCCAAGTTATAGCCTCTATATTATTTTTGGTTTGGCTCATTAAAAAAGTAAACCAATGTATATATATACAATTTGTCTTTGAACTAACTTAAGTATCTTGTGGGTGTTTATCCTACTTTTCGTTTAATCCAAAACTCAACTTTTTTTTACTTCTGAAAATGTATATACTCAACTTAATGAATTTATCATCATGGTTCTACATTGAATTGGAATCATTGACCATGAAATTGAAAATTAGTAGGTTTGATGTAATAATTTACTTAATGTTTGTATTAAGAAAAAAAAACTAAATAGGTGTTTAATGATAATCAGAAGGACTAGTACATAAATTGTTTTCATTACATAGTTCTGTTTTTTAGCCGGACATAAGTTGCTTAGAATGTTTTTTCTTCTAATTATCATGCGTAATAAGCCATTAAAGTAAGAAACGTAGCTACAGTAAGTTTGATGGATATAGCTGTAATATTGAAGAAAAATGTTAAGTTCTTACAGCAATGTTGCAACCCATCTTGTAGATATCTCTCATAGCATTGTTCATGTTGGTAATTGGTAATAGTCAGTAAGTGTGTTTTGAAACTACAAGAAAAACTAGAGGTAAACAAGTATTTTGCCACAACATAAGACTTTCAATGTTTTCTAGTTTTGTATTTCAAAGCTTTTGATGTCTAATATTCAAACAAAAAAATAATGTATGAAACATTTTATTATTATGTTTTGTTAAGTTACTTTTTTTGCTTAGAAATAATTTATTTTTAGGATTAAAGACAATCCCATGCAAATAAAATGGGTCTTTCAGAATCTAGAACAGTCAATTTACAAGTACATTTTTCAGGATGTCTGGCTGAGTTTACCCTACTGGCAGGTTTTAACACATCCTTGCCCTATCATGAACTTCTGATGTTCTAATCAACTTTCTTAAGTTGATAGTGTAAAATATTATCATTAAAAACAGAAACTTTAAATCATTATTTTAAACTAATACTCTTCCTAAAAAAAACTAAGTGCTTAATATTTGTATAGATTGACAAATGAGTTCAGATACTAATTCAACAGTTCACAGTTTGCTGAGTACTTTTCAGTGATGCTTATTTTGATCATAGTGAAATACTGTTGTGGTATTTATAAAGTGCAAGATATAAGTGAAAATTAGTGATTCAACAGATAATTCACAACTCAATTTTATTTGAATTGTATTAATAGTATTAATTAAAATATAAGATAAATCAGGTTTTTTATGTTATTTAGTTGAAAAGTGGGAAGAAATTAGAGAATTTGTAAACTTGACAAATTTGGCTTGTTATTAGGAAAACGAAATATAATAGTTTTTATACTAAGCATGTTATTGAGTTAGTGTACATTGAACATGGCTAAAAAAGTCACTTGGAGTATATGAGGATTTCTTTTCTGAACTTGTTTACATCACCTCTGTTTTGTGTGTGTGTTTAGTCATTAGATAGTAAAATTAGGTACTGCTTTGCTCCTATATGAACCTCCAGTTTATATCCAGAGGTAACTGTCATTTATGAAAAGTCTGAATAATTAATTTTAGTTAGAAAAAGTCATTGTGTTTATAAACAGGACTACTAACCATTATAAAGGTAGTCTTTGTGCTGTGAAATAAGTGTTTTGTAAATTACAACAGTTAAGAGGACCAGTGTTTGTTACTGGAATATCTTAACCTGCAACTGTGAATAGAATTAGTGTATTGTTAAAATAATATGCTAACATGTAGTGTATAGGACCATTAATTCCTCCATTGTGTTTTAGATGACATTGTGTTGATAAACAGTAGCAGTCTGTTGAACCATACTTGTTATTTAAAGATTTCCTAGACATACTTCACGTAAAACCACTAAGGTTTATTCAATGTTTATAAAAAACAAAGGTATCATACTCATCACTGGATGAATCTTTTTCATAAGCTTCAGAAGAAATTGGTCTGTCCACAAAGAACACTAACTAGGATTCACATCGATCTTTTTAAAATCATTCTCTTTATAAAGATTGTGTCAGTCTCGTAACCAGGTGATCCTTTTTATTTGTTAAGAGTTGTAAAACAAACAAGAATATAGAATCATATCCATCACTTCTTTTTAGCTTCTATTATTTTGCTTCAAATTAAAACGTTGTGTTTATGAAGTACATGTGGCTCTTTAGTGATTAGAAAAAGATACTTAGAAATTTTGACTTAAATAGATTTGAACATTCAGGTAACATATATTTAATTTCCTTTCGCATTTGGCTATTCTTTTCTCTTCCACTAAATTCCATATATTTTTTTCTTTTCAATATAAATTAAAATAAAGTAGAATTGAAGTCTGATTGGTAAAGTTGTCAAAAATAAACACATTGAGCATTAGTATTATGCATTAAAAGAAAAGTTATTTAAACAAAAACTTGATTTCTTTAACAGTGTGAAACTACTGCTATTTTTTCCATTTATTTTGATATTATTTATGAGTGTTGTTTGCACTTGGTAACTAAGTATTATCCATTTTGATCTTGACTGTGAATGGCAGAGGTGGTAAATAGAAATACTGGCAGTCTTGAGTAAACGTTGTGCCTGAAGTTGACATTTCTGTTTGCATTCCATCATTTTGTGTACAAGACACTAAGAGCTGTGATAATGATTGATTTCCATTAATTCTAAGTCTGTATGTTTTGATCTTATTTAATATTCAGGTTCATGGTGATCATTTTGCGGTGCACTGTTGTAACAAGCTCCAACCCTGCACTTGGTTTTAATCATAATTACCAACATGTGTTTTAAAGATGATGATCCCCAGTGTCTTAGACAAAGAAGAATGATGAGTCAAGAGTCCATGTTATGTTAACATTGCTTGTATTGTGTTGAGTATAATATTCCTAAAATATGATTCATTATCTTTGTTTCACTACTCAAGTAAATGTTAGAGGATTTTGCTTGCTTTTCATACGGTGGTTTTCTTCACTCGTTGATACAATAGTATTATTTGAGCTAATCTTATATTTTAACACAGACTTCTCTGCTCATGTATTTCTGCTTTTGTAATTATCAGGTATGAAGCTCTTCAGAAATTTTGTTTTATTAAGGGTTACCATTGAGCCAAGTAACTTAGCAACCACACCTTACACCTTCATCTTGCTATTTTAACAAAGTATTCCATTGATATTTCAATTTTTACTTTCACTAACTATTGTGGTTATTCAACTATCATATGAAATGGCCAGTGACTTGTCCCTGGTTAAAAATACAACAGAATCTCATTCATTATGAATATGGAGGGGTGGGGGTGTAATTCCGAAGATATCAGCTTCATTTCTGATACATAGTACAAATTGATGGCAGTATTAATCTGAAAAATTGTTTTGTTGTAGAGAAAAAAATTGGTAGCTTAAGATACTTTTTTTTGTACAAACGTGTTCTCATAGCTGTAGTCAATGGTGCATCTTTAATATTGTGAAAAGCATGTAACATTGTATCTTTCTATGTTCTTAGGCATTGTGATTTGTTTAAGTGAAGGTAAAAATATAAATATTTATGAAGACCTCAGTTCTATGAGGTTTTTTTTTTTCCCCTAATTGTTAAGCACAAACACTGTTTGGTTCACTGACATGTCTCCAACTTAGTCATTCTGGCAAATAAAGATTTATTTTCATTGTGAACTTTTCGTTGTCTTTCATATAATCACTCATTTAGATCTGTGATTTTTGTTTCAATGAGTTTAATTAGAACAGAATATGCTTTGTAGAATCTGAAAGCAAGACTAAATGCTGTGCCCTAAAACTTGTACTATGACAAATACACGTAGTAAAATTCTTACTCGTACCAGTTCAATTAATGTTTTATAAATTTATTAAAATTACAAGATGGTAATGTATGTATAACTGAATTTTAGTTTCATTTTAGGACTAGAGAATACAAATTTTGGCAGGGTAGGGGTCATCTTCAGCTAAGGCAATTTTAAAGTTGGCCTTTGGATGTTGTGAAGACAGTACATTTATGTGAGTTTAAGAGAAAGCTTGATAAGTATATGAATGATAAGGGTTGGTTTTTTAAATTTGTTTATTAATAGTTTTAGTTTAGAGGATGGGACAGCCAAGATGGGCGAATATGCCCCAAAACATTGTTATGTTAAATCTTTGTCCATTGACATTATAAAACCAGCTACTACAGTTGATTAAAATAGTTTAATCGTGTAACGTTTTAGGACGTCTGTGTATTTCATAATGGTCGCAGGAGATGCTGCTGTTGTTTGAAGTTAAGCACAAAGCTACACAATAGGCTATCTGTGCTCTGCCCACTAGGGGTATCGAAACCCGGATTCTAGCGTTGGAAGTCCGCAGACACCCCGCTGTGCCACTGGGGGGGGGGGGGGGATTGCCGAAATGTTAATCAAGTAATCGCTTGTTCGATGTTTGTATAATTTCAGTATTAGATTAACACCAGTTAAACCTAACATAACATAAGAGCCATAGTATTAAACGAGAGACGGCAATGAACATAGCATGGTTGGGATACATCCGTCAGTCCTTTTACTCGAAGTTCTTGCAATAAATGTACATTCTGTTGGAATTACGTCAATAACATTAATTCATACTGTGAACTTATTCATCCTGTTGTAGTTGCCCTACAGTGGGAGAGCGGTATGTCTGGGAACTTGCGCTGCTAAAAACCGGGTTTCTATACCCGTGGTGGGTAGAGCACAGGTAGCCTTTGGGCTGAACTACAAACAAATAAACTGTTTTTTGTAAATTGAAGTACAGAGATCTCTCGATTAATGCGTTTTCGTTTAGTGCGCTTAAATGTTTTTATAACCAATATTCGATTAGTGCGTGCATAATAGTCGATTAGTGCGGTAACACACATTTCATTTTAACCATAGTAATTGAAAAGTAAGTTTTAGGCACCGAAGTTAAATTTCAAAAAAAAAATTAAAAATAGAAAATGGGTAACTATTTTACTTGTCAAGTTATTACTAGAGTGTCCACCCCGGGGTATTTTAGCGATTTTCTCACCCCTTGCCCCGGGGTAAAATACTTGAAATACCCCAGGGCAAATCTTTACTATTATACTGAACAAATATCTTTTTTCATAACAATAATTCATAAAAACCATCGTCGTTGTTTATAGGAAACGCACCATAGATTTGAAATATAAG